TTTATTTTCTATTTCTTTCTTTTTTTTTTCATTTTATTTATTTCTCTCTTATTTTTAATATATATTTTATTTTTCACTTATATTTCTTTAATTAAACAATCAAATTTATACTATATATATATATATATTTATTTATTTATTTTCACTCACTTATTTTTCCCTTCTTTATTTCTCATATATTTTTTTTTTCTATCAAACACTATAAATTTTAATAAATTTAATTTTTTTAAAATAAAGATTATTTAAAATTTAAAACATGATTTTGGATTATTTTTTATTAACTCAAAACTTAAAATCTATCTCATTGAATTCAACTATTGAACACAATTGAAATTAAAATAAAAAAATATTACAAATATAGTAAAAATTACATAAAAATAAGTTTAAAAGACGATTAAAAATTATAAAAATATAATTTCACATTATTTCTTAATTATCTATAAAATATATTTTACACACAATTTTTACTATGTTTATATCTTTTTGGATACAAATATTGATTGAAATAATTTCATAGTTTTTATATAATTGAATGATATGAGTTTCATATATTGAATTAATAAAAAAATTAATTTAAAATTGGGTCAAAATTATAAATTATTATTGTTTTTATAAAGATCAAATTACTGCAAATATAAAATAAAAATGATCAAAATAAATAATTTAATAAATAAAAATATTTTTTTTAAAAAAAAATAAAGAAGTAGAAGTATAATTTAGTTTCTTTTAGGCTTGTTATCTAAAATAAAAATTAAATCAAGGCATACCAATTTATAATTTTTTAATTAATATATATAAATTATTTGAAAAATGTTTTCTAACAAAATTGTAATTACATTCAATTCATATAGTATTAGTTTGCGACCAAATGCAGGATTATAATTTACAACCAATTCGTAAACGGTGGGAGAATGACTTACATTTTGCAGGTAGCAACAAACGACCGAACATAGCTTTGTGATGGATAGTGATACCCATACCCAGAACCAAAATCCTTCGAATTCGAAACTCAAAGTTCACCTAGTTACATGCACCGACTCGGCCGAGTTCACGCTCCTGAGTGAGTCATTGAGTCGGACCTCAGTGGTGGGCCTGGACGCGGAGTGGAAGCCCGTTCGGAGGTCGTTTCCGAGGGTTTCGGTGCTCCAAATCGCGTGCGGCGACTCCACGGTGTTCGTGTTGGACTTGTTGTCCCTTCCTCTCTCTTCCCTGTGGCAACCGCTTCGAGAATTGCTCCTTTCCCCCGACATCTTCAAACTCGGATTCGGATTTAAGCAGGATTTGGTATACTTGTCCTCCACTTTCAGCTCCCACGGCGGTTTCGACAAGGTTAGATTCCATCAATGAAATTGAATATAACAGGGTTAAGTATGTTTTTAGATCTTGAATTATTGAATTCAATTGTGGATAGGTTGAGCCGTATTTAGATATCAAGAACGTGTACAATCATCTTCAGCATAATAAGAAGCATGTTTCCAAGCAAAGTAAGAGTTTGTCAACCATATGTGCAGAAGTATTGGGCTTTACGCTCTCCAAGGTTTGTAAGCTATTCATTCAACTTCAGCAAGGTGGTCCAAATGGAATTTTCAATTTTCAATTACTAAACTTATATCTGCTCTAGGAACTCCAATGTAGTGACTGGTCATGCCGTCCTCTTACAGAAGAGCAGATAACATATGCAGCTATGGACGCTCATATCTTGCTCGACATATTTAAGGTCTTCCAGGCTAAGGTTGTCAAAGAAGGTTTGTAATGCCTTAATATTCTTTAGCACAAACTCTGGACAAATTACAAGCCTTTCATTGTGTTATATTTCTTCTATTGAAACATTTTAATTTTTGTTTTATTGCTTGATTGGTTATTTGTGTTATCCTCCTATTTTACAAATAGAAGCAGCTTGACTGGTCTCAACATCTAAAGGAATTTCCAATGTGGCACTAGAAAAAAAGCTGACAGACGATAATATAGTGTGATGCATCAAAGATACATGATCAGTTTTTAATGGCTGGAGCTCGCGTTTATGCTACATGACAATCCACTTAGGTTCCATGACAAAAAGTGGGGCTAGCGTGCCAATTTTTGCTTTCAACTGAACAGCTAGTTAATGCAGGGACTAAGTGGTTCAAATTTGAAAAGTAGGGCATTCAACATTGGCAACGCAGTTATTGAATTTGGGGAATGTATTTGCAATTTTGAGAAAACTAGAGGAATCATAGGCTCAAAGTATGATTGAGCCTTTGTTTTTATCTTTCAACAGTGTCCTTAAGAATGTGTCCCTTGCATGATTATCATCACTTGGAGAGGGCTTTCATAATGAATATTATTGGGTTTGTTTAACTTAGTGTTTGGTTGGAGGGGAAGGAAGGAGAGATATTTTATTAAACTTTTCTCACAGGAAGAGGAGCAAAATCCCTCCTTATTTAATTTTAGTTTTCCTCCAATACAGGCGAATTTTGGAGGAGATGTGGGAGATTTTAAAACATTTTTAGTATAATAAAATATCCTTATTTATGTTTTTAAATTTAAAATTATAAGGATACAAAGGTAAATTGGTTTTTAAAATTCCTCTCCTCTCCTTGTGAACCAAATAAGAAAGAGTTACCTATCATTTTTTCAACCAAACAAATCTATGATTCCTCTCCTCCCCTTTCCTCGCCTCCTTTGAACCAAACAGACCCAAGGTAATTGTTTGGTCATTAGTATATTGGATTTTGCATAACTAGTGCTGGAATTGCTAGAAAGAGATTTAATATAAAGTCTGTAACACCCTAATTTTTATAAAAATTATATTAATATTACGTAGTATTTATTTTAATGTTTTAATGTATTTATTAGAAGGATTTTTAATATTATTTAGCTATTTGATATGAGCTTTATTTTTTATATAAAACATATGTTATTTTTACTAAAAAGGAAAAGTATATTCTATATTATTTATCTATTTTATGTGACCTTTATTTTAATATAAAACATGATTTTTAATTAATATTTGGATTATTTGCTATAAGACTATTTTTATGAAAATATGTTTTTTATCAAGAATTATATTTATGTTATTTTTTAAAGAGAGGAAATATGTTTAATTATTTTAATTATTTTGTGAGAAGGAAAGGAGGGACGTAGTGGTCTTTTGCTAAATATTATTATTATTATTATTATTATTATTTATTTTTATTATTTTTAAGAAAAGAGGTTGTTAGGAGTTATTTTCACACTTCTCACTTTCTCACTTTCTCCTTCTTTTCTATGTGTGTGCTCTGAAGACTCAAGAGAAACATAAGGAGGAGGTCACTGGAGAACCATACGCGCTTTGTCTTCTACTCATTAAGGTAAGGGGTTAGTAGGATTGACCCCCAATCCCTAATCCCTTGCCTGATGTATGCCTATAGGAACAGACACTTTATCAAAATTTTCTGTTTTGCTTTCTAACTGTTTTGTTGCGTTCCTTGTATGATTCTAAGTGTGAATATGTGTTCAATTTCAATAATAGATAAGTTTTGATATGAATTAGAGTGTTTTATGGATTCTTACGCGAAATCTTATGAGAAATAGACAAATTTTGAATGTTTTCTGCTTTGGATTCTGAGTTTTATGTTGTGTTCTCTGATGATTATTGAGCATGAATGTATGTTTAATTTTGAGTTTGGATATGTTTTGATATGAATTAGAGTCCTCTATGAGTTCCTACGGGAAACCCTATGAGAAACTGACAAATTTCGAATATTTTCTGTTTTGGCTTATGAGTTTTCTGTTGTGTTCCTTGATATATGTTGAATGTGAATATGTGTTTAATTTTAAAAATAGACAAGTTTTGATATGAATTAGAGTTCTTTGTGGGTTCTTATGGGAAATCCTATGAACTGAAATTAAGGGATATGATTTTTGGATGAATTTTGAGGCATTATATGTAAAATTGATGATGAATTTATGCTTTGGATAATATTTGAAGTGTTTTGACCAATTGAAATATTATATTAACTAGTTGGTTGTAGAAAATGCGTGAAATGATGAAGTTGAATTTATGACTTTTATGCTTCGTATGTTATGAATTGCGAATTGAATGGGTATGATGTTGGATAATTTGTTGGTATGATTTATGTGCTATTTTGATGTATATGACTATGAGAAGTTCCTTGTGTGAGATTATGTGAATATGACGTGAAAATGTGAAAAGTGAACATGTGATCTGTGATATGATATTATGAGATAATGTGACATGGGATATGATGAGACGTGATAAGTGAAATGTTGTCAATGAAATAGTGAATGTGTGACATGCATCATGTGCGTATATGACTCCAGGTGTGCCGCTTAAGCCGTATGCCAGTGATGTATTGAGTTATTCCAGGTGTACCTTAGGTCACCAATGATGTATTGAGCAGTCGCATGCCATTGATGTATTGAGCTATTTTAGGTGTACCTTGGGTTACCAATGATGTATTGAGCTATTCCAGGTGTGCCGCTTAGGCCGCATGCCAGAGATGTATTGAGTTATTCTAGGTGTACCTTTGGTCACTAGTGATGTATTTATGAATGAACGTGCCCCCAGGTATGTTGTTGTAGCAAAATACCAGTGATGAGAAATGTGCAACTTTTGTATGGCGCTACATGCATGCATTTATGAGTTAAGTCCATGACATTATTGCATGATAAATGAATATATATATGTATTCTAATGTATCTATAACTTGAGAATTGTGTTTGGTTATGTGTAACTTTTGTGGTATTTGTTATGATTGTGTGTGCTGCCTAACATTTATTTCTATATCTAAATCAGAGTGAGATGTTTATCACTTTCTTGTTGCTCTATGTGTATTTTTATTGTGTTGTAGTTGATCATCAATATGAGGATATTGATGATGAGATTTAAGTCTCATTGTGGGATGTGCTCTGATAGGACATATGACATCGGACTTAGTTAGGATTAGCTTTGAAGTTTCATTATTGTTATTGTGTTTTTGGAAAGATTAATATTTTATTTTGTCATCATTTCCACATTGGACTACGATTTGTGAAATATGAATGTGAACTTTCTATCTGTGTTTTGGAACCTTGTTAAGATTAAGAAAGTTTTATTTACTCAGGAATGTATTTTATATTTATTGTGTATTATGTATGTGGGTAGAGGGTGTCACAAAGTCTTTTCATTATGTTGATAAATTATATCGTTAATATGTGGATTATCTGAAATTTTACTTTTTTGAATGAGGAGTTTTATTATGTTAGTAATTATTATTTGATGGGCTTGAATGTAACATTGTTAGTAGACTGGAATGAGGCGTTCCCAAATTAGAACGGGTCATTCCAAACTACTAAAACGAGGGTGATTAGTAGTCCAGAATGGGCCGTTCCAAACTACTAAATAGTCCAAACATGACCGTTATGGGTTAAAATGCAACCCCGGAACAGGCCGTTCTGGTTTGAGAACGGACCGTTCTGCATGTGAATTTTACACATGATGTTTGAGTCCAAAACGAGCCGTTCTGGATTTAAAACGGGCTGTTCTGGCCACTCCAGATTTTTATAAATAGGCCACATGCATGCAGTTGAGGAGAAGAGAAGAAGGAGAACTTAGAGAGAAATTTTAGAAAAAAGGCCTCTGGGCTAGGAAGTTTGATTTTGAAGGATTGAAGTTCGGGAGTCAAGCTCGGAGGAAAGTTTTTCTTATTCCCAAATTCTTGGTTGTTCGGAGCCAATCTTTAGGTAAGGGAAGTTAGATTGTAGATTTGTTGGTGGGGTTTTGGGAAAAATGGGGTTTTTGATGATTTTGATGCCTTGAAAAGTTGCATGTTGAATCTAAGGTTGTTTTTGAGTTGTATGAAGTCTATGCATTTCATTTCATGGATTGCATGTGGTTGAAGTTGCTGATTTTCAGGTTTTGGGTGCTTAGGTTGATTGGTGTTGTTTGGGTGTGTAAGTTGGCATGATAGATGGGTTGTAAACATGTAGTATGAGTTGTGTTACGTGATGAAAATGTTGTGTGCTGATTAAATTTTATTAATGATGTTGTTGGTGATGCTTTTGTGATGCAGATGAGATGTAAATGAGATGCATGTTGTAGTTGAGTTGTGAAGTTGTGTAATTGTGTATGGGTGTTAAATGAGTTATTGTGCCCAATAGAAATGTGTTGAATATGTGTTATGTTGTTAAAGTTGCTATATGTTATGTGTGGACTATTTTGCGAAACATGATGAGACGATCAGTTGAGAATTGTGAAGTGCATGATGATAATATTGTGAGTTGTGAGAAACATGATGTGAAGTGTGTAGATGTGTTGAGATTTATATAGAAGTTATTAGTAGATTGTGTTGCTAAGTTGTTAGAGGAAAGTTGTATGTTGCTATAAAGTTGTAGGTTGTGCCATGTGTTGAAAAGATATAACTTTATGATGATTGAGTTGTAAATTCTGAGTTGAGCTAATAAGCTGTTGAGTTGACTGAGTTGTTTAAAGTTGAAATGAGTTGATAATTGAGATGATGAGATGAAACATGTGTTGATTGAACTGTGATGACGAGTTGTTGATCACTATGATTAGGGGAGATGTTTTCAAAGTTACTCATCCCATTGTGTGGATTGAGAGTGTTGTGGTGCTCTGAAAGCCCAAATTGTTGAAAAACCCTCCTTAGGAAGTTGTCCCTTAGGGTGGACGTTGTGTTGTTCTCTTCTAGTACTTAGTTGATCCCGTGTGTGGGTAAGGTCGAGGCACACGTGTATGAAGCGACCACGGTATATGGGTCATGTTGAGCTATACTGATTACAAGCGGCCAAACTTAAGTAAAGTACGAAGTCAGGAACTTAGTTCCTAACTGAGTATCGAAAGGTTGTAGTATTTGGAGGATAGTCGGTAGGCTAATTCCATAGGTGGCTTAGTTGAGCTAGCTAATGTCGTGGTAAGCCTAAACCCAGTTGTTCTATCTTGACAGAGTACTATACTTCATTGTTTAAGTGGCAGAGTCTGAGAAACCGTTATCGTGTTGTGGATTGATATCCAAATTTGTTGTTTACCTAGCAAGCTCAAAAAAGTTTTGTATTGTCGGTTCGGTAGGACCTAGTCACTTAGACTGCTCAACGTCAATTGTAGGAGATCTCCGAGTTGAAATGCGTGACGATGCATATGTGTTGATGAGTTGATATTGTGATGATATGAGTTGTATGTATTGATGTGATGTGAAGGTGTTATTGAGATGTGTGTTGTTAAAGTGTTGTGCATTGTATGTTGAACAAGTTGATAATGATGCTAGCGTCGCTAGATTACCTGTGTTGTAAGTTGCTTTTAAACATGTGTTTGTTGAGAGGTGTGTAATACACGTGTTGGTTGTTGTTGTGATGAATATGTTATAACTATTCCAATGGTTTGTACAGTAGTTATGTTTAAGTATTGATCAGTGTTGATATGTTGAATCAAGTTGAAATGATGTTAAGATGTATAGTATATGTGTTGTTTGTCTTCTGTGTCGGATGTGAAGATGATTATATAGTTGTTGTGTTACATATTTAATTACTATGAGTCATTTATTGTCTCTAGCTTACCCTTGCATGTTTTCATGTGGTTTGGACTGCGATGATCATACGATGTATGGAAGTAGGACAGGGATGTTGAGGCTTTGGGCCTTAGCCCTCACGGTTTTGCTTTTGGTTATTATCCAAAAGGCCTCTCAATCATTGAAGTATATTTATGCTATATAAGTTGATATTTTTTATCATATTTTATCGATGTGGGACTTGTTTGTATCCCAACAATCATCCCCTCAAACAAGGGACCTAACCTTTCATGTAGCGAAATCTGTCTTTATATATCATATTATCATTATCATTTTTTTTGTAAGGGTTATTGGTTGTCATCGAATCCAATCTGCGGCTCTGATACCATTGATAGGGTTATTTTATGGTATTTGTTTGAGGAGATATTTTATGAGTTATTTTTATAAGGTTATTACGCAAGCATACTCCACAATGATGAGATATTGTCCGCTTTGGGCCTTAACCCTCATGGTTTTGCTTTTGGTCATTACCCAAAAGGCCTCTTAATCATTGAATTATGTTTATGCTATATAAGTTGTTATTTTTTATCATATTTTATCGATGTGGGACTTGTTTGTATCCCAACAAGGGATAGGTTGGGAGATAGCTGCTAGAGGCCACAGGAGGTGCCTGGAGTTGGATTTTTTTTGTAGGCTACCTTAGAGTTGGATTTTTTTTGTAAGCTACCTTATTGTAGCATATTTTGTTGTATATAGCTGGTTGTTGTTGGTTGCTTGATTAACAACTTGTGTATTAAATATTTTATTATACTATTTTAGTATATATATATATATATATATTCCAGTAGTGCGTAGTATTGTTCCGTAGTGTGACAGTCATGGCGGGTCGTTACATTGAACAGATTTTCTCAACTACTATTTTATGTATATATGTGTTGGTGGTTTGTTTCTAGCACACGCATCTCATACCATTGGAGTTCAGTATTCAGAGTCACTATACTCGTGTCCCCTTATCCACTTAATCCCTCGTCATGTTAAGCAATCAGCATGATTTGGCATATAATTAATTTCATTAAAGATTTCAAGAGGGTAGATAGTTAGGAACGCTTGACTCTCCCGAGTCTTATAAATAAGCATCATTGCATTAAATACTACGAATTTGTGTAGCATCTTTGAAATTATCTATATTTATGTTAATTGATTTAATCATAAGTCAATTTGTAAACTAATTTCATTGTAACAGAGCAGACTATAAGCATTCTATGGAAACGGTTCTTACAAATTTTTATTTTGAAATAATTGTTACCAACAGATATTTAGTTCCAATAACCCTGCAACTTCATATGGTAATTTTTGTTTTTCACTCATGCATCCACAAGAGTAAACCTCATGTAATTGCAACACATTGGATAAGTATGGAAACTTTTCTGTATTATGTATCCATTCATTTCCCATCCATTTTCTTTCATCTAATAATAATTTATTTATTTGCTACCCAAACAATGAGGCATTATGAAGAGAATTTTTTTGTCGTGACATTTAGTTGAATTCTTAACTGCAGGTGACTTGATTCTTGAGACTACGGTATTGTCTAATCCTGATGCAAATCTTGGGTTGAAAGATCTTTTCAGAAATCATGATATAAGTGATAAAGTCCTGAGAGCACAATTTCATGAAGCTTTAGCAATTGTTCAGGCCACTACTTGTTCTGATGTTGCTCAAATGATACCTTTGGCAGGGGGAATGATCCAAAAATCATCATGTTGGGTTACTGTGCCAATGGATGAAGATTTGTTGAAAGTTGTTAAAAAATATGGTGATAAGATTTTGCTAAAGGAGTCGGACAGAAAGCCCAAAAGCTCAAAAAAGAAAGGGAAGAAGCAGACACTAATTAATGGGATTAACAAAGAAAATCATTTTGAGAAGTTTGAGTGGCAAGGTACCCCACCTTGGGATCCTTCGGTGGGGGGAAATGGATATCCAAAGTTCCTTTGTGATGTCATGGTAAGCAACTTAATTATGAAGATATGATACCCCCTTTCTTCAATATTAGGATGTTTAGCCATTGGATTTTATTAATATAATCAGATTCAATCATCTCTGATGCACCTAAGCAATGGTTTTTTTTTTTTTTCCCCATCATTATCAGTTGCCTATAGTCATCGGTACCTCTTTTCTGGACTCCTGTTTTGTGGAACTGTTTTATCCAAAAAGAAAGGATTTTATTTTAATGTAGGATCTGAATAATTGTGTTTATAAAATAAAAACGTGAGCATGAATTTGTTAGGAATTTACTCAGGTTGAAGGCTTGGCAAAACATTTACGGTGTGTTGGAATAGATGCTGCAATTCCTTATTCGAAGAAGCCTGAACCAAGGTTATAAAGAGTACGATTCTACTATTATTTTTTTCTAATTGTTTATTCTAGTATAATCTCAACGTTGTTCTTCTGACAGATGATTTACCTTTGCATTTTTTCTCCTTTGTGGTGAAATATTATTCATTAATATTTAGGATGTTGATAGAGCATGCACAAAAAGAGAAACGGGTGATTTTGACGCGGGACGCAAAGTTGCTGAGACATGATTATCTGACAGAAAACCAAATATATAGAGTGAAGAGTCTTCTGAAAAATGAACAGCTGCTTGAGGTATGTATACTTCAACTATCTACATAAAGAGATTGATAATATACATTCACGTAGGGTAACAAGTTAAATCGTACAATATCTGCCATTTTAGGAACCCTTATTTATTAATTTTAGAATGTTAAATTTTATGGATAATGCAAAAGTCTCAGATGGGCTAGAGTTGAGTCCATGGATTTGTTGTCAACTTTGTGCTGCCATTGTTTATTTCTCGCTCAATTTTCACACACAAAAAATCTCTTCCACCTTTAGTTCAATACTTCAATTATTAATATATAATAAGTGTATAGCAAAATTGATATGAACCCAGTGGGATGGATTAGTTTTACGGATCTATCTAGGTTTGAAAGCTCATAAATAAAAAATTAAAAGAAAAAAATATGGATTGAGGTAAGAAATGGAAGAACAACACCACAATCCTTAAAGATTGATAAGTTGAGGAAAATTCGCTACTTTGAATTAGGAAATTCAAGGATAAGAATCAAAAGTAGTTCCTAAGAACCTAGAGAGAGAAAATCCTCTCAATTGAAAAAATATCCAAATTCTGAATAATTCATTTTCTCTTCTTCTTAAAATTTTTACAAAAGGTTCCTATTTATAAGCTTAGATGAGCAAGATGACATAAATTCCCACTAACACTTAATGTCCACTATAAGTGACTCTTCGCTATCCCACTGACTAAGCAATAAATTCTCACTAATTCCCACTAGCATTTATTTTCCCTTAGCAACCTAAAAGGCAAGGAAACCCATCAGATTTATTTAATAAAATAAAATAAAATGAAAATTACATTAAAAAAATAAGATCATGGACTTATTTAATTATTCAGCCCCAAATTACTTAAATCGCAGCCCATTAATCCTTCTTCTTTATCATATGACTTTGGGCTTGTTAGTCTTCAATTTTACCCTGCTAGATTCACATAAAAAATTATTAAGCATTTCTTACTTGGGAGAGTAATGGCATGGTGTCACCAAGCCTAAACTCGAAATGTTTTTCAGGTTATTGAAACTTTTCAACTAAAAATTAATGAGGATAAGCTAATGTCAAGGTGCACAAAATGCAATGGAACATTTATTCAGAAGCCACTGACAACTGAAGAGGCTATTGAAGCTGCAAAGGGTTTTCAAAGAATTCCAAATTGCTTATTTAACAAGAATTTAGAGTTTTGGCAGTGCATGGACTGTCACCAACTTTATTGGGAGGTATTGTTTAGTTTGATTCTGAGTTTCTATCTAACATTGCCTTATCACTTATTTTCATTGGTATTGGTATTATTAAGTTAATTGGATTTTTTTTTTGGAAGCCTGATGACCACAAATTTTTCTTTGACACCTGAGAAATTTGCTTTTCAACAAGGACACATTATTGCTTTACTGTTTGATTAGGGTCTGTTTAGTTAAACTTTTTCATAAACACTTTAAGGAGAGAAAAATAGGAGGAAAAAAATGAAATGAGTTTCTCCATAGGTTAAAATCAACTTGTGCATAAGCTAATTTGTAGAAGCTCTATCTTATTAGTTTCTTCAAATCTTATTAACTCTTGCATAAACTAATTTTAACTTAAGGAGAAGTTTATTTTAATTTTTCTTCCTATTTTTCTCTCCTAAAAGTGCATCTGGATAGGTTTATCCAAACAGATCCATAGTCAACTTCTACCCTTTGCTTGTTGAAGGATCTATGCATGATTTGACATATCAAGAATGAATTTTTAATGAGAATTCAGAATGCCAGATTTTAGTCCTATCATCGGGACATACTAGTCGAAGGATAAGCGAACAAATATAATTTGTCTGAATCATTAATGATTATACATTTTTTTTCTATAAACCAATCAAATTTACTTTTTTGTATGTGTTCAGCCTCTTAAATGTTTATCACTTATGTGTTTGACCAAGAACAACGGGAAAAGGGAACATAAATTTGTTTGCCTTTCCTCTATTGTTTTTTTATTCTATATAGTAGATATGTTGTTGAAATATAGCCAACTGTCTAACTTGCACACGTTGTGTCTGTTCTTTATACAGGGAACCCAATACCATAATGCAGTGCAGAAGTTTATTGACATTTGCAAATTGAGTGACTAATTTGAACTTCGCTGTGATGTGCACTCGAGTGATGGTGTCATCGAATAACTTTCCATTGAGGAAAAAAGTCATTTTCTCTTGAATATATTTGTTTCAGTGCAATCCATTCATGTGATGTAGTTTATATTTTACACATTGATTTAGCCATCGCCTCTTGTCGCCCCATTTTTGGTTGTTCCTTTGTATTCTACAAATGGACTCTTCCATTTCAAATGGAAAGAGCGGT